GAGGATTTCTGTCGGGACCCCCCTCTCAGCGTATTGTATGTCACCAGAGCTCAAAGACAAAGGAAGTTCACAGCGTACGCGGTTCAACCCAGTTCGTGATAAAAGTGACGTACACAATCAACTATCATGTCAATACAGATCGAAGAATGTTGCAACATATCTTTTACAAGTTCACTATGCTTATAAGGATCACTAGCAAAAATATTTCTAAAACCCCACATTACGACTACAAACTGAACAATGTCAAGTTGAGCAGTATGATACTGAACACTAAAAGTACGTCAGTAAGAGTTTGAAGTATTCTTAAAATTTGTAAGAGATTTCTACATTTTCCCCAATTCTCATAAGTAACAGTGATATTGCAAGCACGACGCTCAAGACTTCTGGAGAAAAAAAGTCTCTAATTGATGGGCAAATTCACACATTGTTGTTAACATTTTATAAGTTGAGTTCCACGTGGTAGAAACGTCCAGTTGGAATTTTTGGGGTATAACATGAGCAACTTCACAATGTTTTCCACTTTTTTTTATTATTTGAGGATGACAGTGCAAGGACATAACGACCTCTTTAATGGGCTTGACCGACTGTTTCGAAGCATTATAATCTGATTGAAACACAAAACATAATGACATGACACATACACCGAATATGAAAATTTTTTTCTCCACAAATAGGATGCCTAGTATCTTTAAGATCAAACAAAGCAGTATTAGCACTAGTGTAAGATAAGTGGATTCTTTTGACTAATTTTATAATTATTCAACACGCGTGCAATTAAACGAGCGATATTAGCAGCAGTGTGAGAGTTGTTCAATCCTGAGTAAAAAATTAGACACTTGTTTAATGAAAAACTATCATCTACCCCAATCACAAATATTTCTCATATAATGATTATCTTGCTAATGATTAGACCAAATATTACAACAAATAGAAACACTTTGATTTAATTTTTCAAGAGTTTGCGCCAAAATTAACATTGCCCAGCCACTATATTTCAAATATCACGGGTGAGGGTAGTAGGTGGAACCCGAAACGCAAACATGTCTAAAGCCATTTGAGAAAAAAATTCATATAAGTTAGAATCACTAAATCCAAAAGAAAGAGATGAAACTGAAACGACGTATATGGTTTACATCAGAGTATTGAAATAGAGAAAAAGATGTTTCGACATATCTAGCCGCAGATACAGTGCTACTTCTCGAGAATTGTATCTAGGTCGCGTCAATCCCCATTTTCGGCAGGATGATAGATCCATATGTGTTGTTACATGGTTCCATACCTATTGTCAGTTTTGAAAGCGTACTTTTTCTCGGTACTAGGGGGACAGTGGCTGCAATACATATACAATGCTTATCACCTTTTTTCGTATCGGGGACCTTCGTGAAATGTTTCGTGAATATGTGGGATGTCAGTTGTCGACCACCAGCTCGGGGCTTCGACGGTCGTCCATTGACCTTGAATAGGATCGTAATCGCTATTCAGCTCAAGCTCCTTGAACTCAAAACCCTCGCAAATATATTTAACCGTTTTAAAGATGCACTGGACCTCCCCGTAAGTTACGTCATTAGGTAGACCCAGAACATTTATGTCTATTGTCGACTTCGGCAATGAATGACCACTCGTAAATGCTACATGTTTTGCTTTGGTGGTCATTCTCCACGAGAACTCGATATTTTTGTGAATCAAATTAAAATTATTAAAATAAATCGATGAATTTTTTTTTTTCCACCAGGCCGGTTTTTAATGTTTTTTACCGCCCGTATATCTATGGACTGGTTCAAAGCCTCGTGGTCAACAGCTCAAATTTGGTCTGAAACCGGTCACTTCCGGGCCTTGCCGGTTTAGCAGACCAAACTGTGGCCATGTCAAGGTGCAATTGTGCCTAGTGGTGAAGCGACCGACCACCTACGTCACTTTCCGATCCCTATTTTCCAATTGACGTGCTTCAAAAAGTTTACCATTTTTATCCTTTCTTCTCGTCAGAACGACACCGTACTCGATTTTCTCTCTTTTCTCTTTCTGGTCTCCCTCCATTTTCAGTAGAATTCTCTTCCTAGACTCGCAGCAATCTCGAACCTTTTTCTGGCTGGAAATCATTTCATCACATACTGTAGGACGTTCAACGCGGCGCGGAAGAAATATGGAAAGCCGGTCGTGGCGGAGCTCGGCTCGATCCAAGGCGGATCTGTCCGCGTCACTGAGACGCGCTTGGTACCATTTGCGGCTCTCAGTCCGGGATCCGAGTCGCGTGCGAACTTGGGATGCCATCGTGTTAACGGCGGCCAGCCCGGAGCAAGCCGAGCTCTACCACTGGCAGCTCGGCCGCGCCAAGCGGATGGGC